GGCCCCTTTCTATGCCCACAACCACCCTCTCCCCCTCCGCCTCTAAACAGGGGTGCCAACCCACAGCTCCCAGAGTCGCCTTCCATGAGACTGCCTTGGTTTCTGGGGTGTAAAATCTGGGAGCGTCTCTGGAACCCAAGGCTGGCCTCCTAAAAACCAGCTTTGAGCATCGCTGGTGGGCGATGGGAGGTGGAGGGGGGGGAGATAGGGGTCAGCTGTCAGAAGGAGAGTCTAGGTATTGGCGGGAAAGGAGTTGCAGGGAGGGCCGTTCATGGCTTCCCTACAAGCTCCCAAAGAGGTTGCTGGCTGTGTCAGCCTCTTGCGGGAAAAGCCAAAGACAGATCTGGGTGTCCCTTGCAGACGAACATGGGCCACGGCCAGGCGCCTTCACCAGACCCCCTCTGGACCTTTATCAAGCATCAGCTACAGCTTGGTCTCCCCGCCTTCTCAGAAGGAGCCCAAACGTGTAATGCAGCCTCTTCCTTATAGCAACACAAGGCCTTTTCTCTTTGCCAGGGAACTACTTTGCCAGTCATTTTTTCATGGGAGGTGAGAAGTTCGACACACCTCATCCGGAAGGGTACCTTTTCGGGGAGAACATGGACCTGAACTTCCTCGGGAACCGGCCCGTCCAGGCAAGTGCCAAACGCTTTCATCAGGGCTTCTGTGGGAGCAGGATCCCGATGCAAAAGGAAGAGAGGGAGGGCGGTGCTGCAGCCCCATGGATATTTCCCCCCCAACAGGGTTCCTTTTGATTTCTCTTGATTTCAGGGGCTGTGCAATTTTCAGAAATAGCCTGCCCCATGATGGAAGCTTTGAGATAGATAGGCGTCAGGGACAAAAGGTGGAGAATACTGGCAGTGGGAAATTCTGAACGTTGTGTTTCAGTATGGTGGTGGGCAGGGCCATGGGGAAGAGGAAGACCATGATTTCCTTCTTGGCATCGTTCATCTGAACTCTCACCGCAGCCCTTCTCTCACGTACTGCCTGGCCGATGAGTTGTATCACATCTCCATATTTAGCCCTTGTGCCCTTGGTTGCTGGCTGGGGATGGCAAGATCTGAAGTCCAGCCCATTCTGTAGGACACCAGCTTGCAGGAGGTCAAATGGCCTGAACGGAGGTCCCCCGCAGCTCAAACCAGGGGGCGCCAGGAGAGAGGGACCCTTCCACCCAGGCTCTTTTCTCCAGCCCCCCCCCCTTTGTCTTCCTTGCAGTGGATTGGCTTTGACTCCAAAGGTCCTTCCTTCCTTTTTTCTTTCAGTTTCCCTACGTCACCCCTGCGCCTCATGAGCCAGTGAAGACCCTGCGAAGCCTGGTGAACATCCGCAAAGACTCCCTTCGCCTGGTCAGGTATTTCAAGGCAAACTCCAGCTTTTCGGGTTATCAGGTGGATTTGTGGTTCAATTGGAACCCGATTTGCTCAGGGCGGAAAAGGCAGGCTGGGTGAGGCCAACTTTGTGATTGGCATCAGGTGGGCAAATGGGCATCCATTTTTTTTTAAAAAAATGTTGCTCCTCTGGCCTGCTTCTCATCTGTGCTACATGGGCAGGCCCTCCTTCCGGCTTAGGCTTGGCTGCTTCCCTGCTCCCTGCCTTTGTCAGGGCTCAACCCAAAGGTCATCGTTGGATCAGCCCTCAGAGGACACTCCTCCTGTAGAAGCCAGGCTCTGAAATCACAAAGAGCTTGGAAAAGTTCTTTTTTAGGGACACAGTCCTGGGGGGGGGTTGGGGGTTGGTGAGGCGGACCTTCTTCAGAGGTCTTTGCCTTCCCCTGGGGCCCTTGCCCTCAAAGAGAAGGTAGCTGGCAATTTGGAGAGAGGGCTTTTTCAGTCCTGGCACCCTGTCTGAGGAAGACCGGTAAGTCCCCGGTTTCCTTCTCTAAAGTTTCTAATGGACAAATGGTGGCAAGAGTTTTATCCGTCCTCTTGACATTTCTTCCGTTCAGGTACAAGGAGGATGCTGACACCCCCACCGAGGAGAATGGGAAGCAGAAGGCCTTATACAGCCTGGAGTTTACCTTTGACGCCGATGCCCGCGTGGCCATCACCATCTACTGCCAAGCAACAGAGGAGTTTGTTAATGGCATGGCCGTGTGAGTGCAGGATGCCTTTCATGGATTTCTCCCGCGAAAGCCTCCAGGAGACAGAGATCTCCTTGCAGAGCTGGAGACCTGCAGGGGGTGGCGGGGGTGGCAGCGAGGCCAATCCCTCTCCTGAGGGACCTGCTGTGGTTGCGCAAACCCCCCCCCCCCAGTGGAGCACAACCGAAAATGGCTGGATGTCACTTCAGGTTTGAGGTCCATTTTGTTCTTGAGCAAAACAGTGTCCCAAAAGAAGAGGGTGAGTTTTGCTCTAAGGAGAATTGTGCTTCCTGGGGATTTCCAGAAGGGCAGTTTCCCCACCTCTGTTTTGTGTCAGGGATGTTCATGGGGAGGGCACAGGGGGCATCTTGGATGCCCTCCTCTGTTGTGAGTTTCCCAGTGTGAGAAACTTCTCTCCAGCCTAGGCGCAGCACCCGCAGTGGCACCTCTGTGAGGTTAGGAAGTGCACCGAGGGTCCCTGGTAGATTTGGCCGGCTCCTTCCAAACGGAAACCTCGTGGCCTGGGTGAAGGCGGCCACGCAGCAGGGGCCCAGAGACCCGGGCTGTGGCTGCTCCTCAGTAGATGGGCCACAGGGAGTGGAGTGGCTGGGTGCCCGGGAGGAGGCCTGGAGCTTTTCCAGCTGCCTCTGGGTGATGATGCGTCCCCCCTCCCTCTTTCCTCCCTCTTCCCCCGCAACAGCTACAGCACCAAGAACCCGTCCCTGCAGTCCGAGACTGTGCACTACAAGCGGGGGGTGAGCCAGCAGTTCTCGCTGCCTTCCTTCAAGATGGACTTCTCTGACTGGAAGGATGATGAGGTACTTCTCCTGACTTGCTGGTCTCTCCAGTTCTCGGGGCTTCACCGCTGAGTCTTTTAGTTGGGCGAGGGCTTACAGACTTGGATCCTCCCCCAAACCTTTCTGGAAGCGGGGTTTGCTCATTGGTGTCTTGTGGCCTCAAAGGTGGCCCCGTTCAGGAGGCTTTCACGTGGGACCAGCCAGGGAAGGTTCTCCACAGGAGAAGGGGCATTGTTTTATTCCAGAAGGCTCCTTTTTGAAGGCTGGCCTCTTCAGCAGTCCTGGAAATCATCTCCCTGGGCTTGCATTCTGCATAGCTAATCACTCCCTGGGCCTTTTTTTTCCTAGCTGAACTTTGACCTGGACCGAGGCATTTTTCCTGTGGTAATCCAAGCCGTGGTGGATGAAGGTGATGGTGAGGAAGCTCCCGGGCCCTTGGGAAGGGCGGGCTTGGCATCTGGCTCATGGCCAAGGTGGAGAGAGAGGTCAGACTTTGGTGGCCAAAGGGCTGGAGCAGCTTCCTCAGGAGCCCAGCTTGTGTCGGGAAACCACATGCTGTGTCGGATTCCTTATGAGGGTTGCAGCTATTGGGGGGGGGGGAGGTGTGGGGCAGGGATTAGGGCTGTGGGAGATCTCCTCGTGGAGCCGCCTGGCTCTGAAGCGGGCACGGCGCTGGGAGGCAGTGGGTCTGGGCTGCTGCCTCCTGCTCCTCCAACTCACGGGCTTTGTCATTTCCTCCTAGTTGTTGTGGAAGTCACTGGCCATGCCCACATCCTCCTGGCCGCCTTTGAAAAGGTAATCCGGTTGCATTGAGGTGGTGGTGGTGGAGGGGGCCTGCCTGTGCCAGGCCGTGGGTCCCCCCCCGGCTTCCGCCCAAGCCAGCTCCAGGCCTCTCTGTTTCCTCTTGCCAGCACGTCGACGGCAGTTTCTCAGTGAAGCCCTTGAAGCAGAAGCAGATTGTAAGTCCTGTCGTCGTCCTTTTCCTCCTGCAGCCCTAGAGAGATGGGTGGGAGAACCTGGAGTGGCCCTTGCCGGCTCTGCCTCCTCGCAGGTTCAGGCACCCCCTCCCCCCTCCTGGCTTCCATGGCTGAGATGCCCTGTTGGGCCAGGTGTGGGCCGAACCTTGCCCCCGTCATGCAGCCATCTCTCCTGCTCCCTGGGCATTTCTAGAAGGACCCCTGGCCCAGAAAAGGCTTCGCTCCAGTACCATGATGCCTTCTCCGCTGTTCTGTTTCAAGTCCTGTTTGCCTATCTGGAATCCATGCTGTTCTAATTTCCACCCTTGAATTCTATGAAAAGAAATAAGAATCCTAAAGGTGGCGATTTTAATGGCCAGACAAGAGTTGTGTTCCCAGAAGGAGCAGGAAGTGCTTTCTTTCCCCTGCAGGTGGACCGGGTCAGTTACCTGCTGCAGGAGATCTACGGGATTGAGAACAAGAACAACCAGGAGACCAAGGTGAGAGAGGCCCCTGCCTGGTGGCTGGAACGAGGCCTGAAGGAAGCCGGAAGGGGCGCCGGGGGGGGGGGAGAATGCCAGGCAGGCCATCCCTCCTCAGGAATGAAAAAAGGGGTGCGGGGGGGGCGGACTTGCCTGGGGTTCTCGGTTCCATTCTTGTCTGTCTTAGCACCATGAGCGTTCCCTTCCATCGTTTCTGCTTGCCCCGGGGGGTAGGGGGGTGGTGGAAGTTTGTCTGTCTCTTGATCCATGGGCTCTCAGAACTGATGCCTCTTCAGAGAAGGCCAGAAAATCTCTCAGTCTGTTTTAGTGACTGCTGTGACCCTCAACGTCGCTTTGACTGTAGTGGTTTTCTTGTTTAATCTGGTTTCATTTTGTTTTTAACCGCTGCTGTTATGTTTACTAACAGTAATCGTAACCGCATGCATGAAGTGCAGCGTGTGCCTGCCTGCCTGCCGCTCTCCCACTGGTTCAGAACAGTCGGCCAGTTTGCAAGAGAGGGCGAGGATGTGTCTGCGACAGAAGGGACAGGAGGGAGGCAAGAGAGTTGGGGCATTCTCAGCCACTGCTGCCGGCGGCGGCGGCGGAGGAAAGATCAGCAGGGTGGAAGGAAAGGAGAGCAGGGTCCGAGGGTCCGTGGAAGGACTCCCGGCGGGTCCCGCCTGGAGCCGGCAGCGCCGACCGCCCTTCTCCCTCCTCTCTTGCAGCCCTGTGACGACGAGAACAGCGACAACAGCAACGAGTGCGTGGTGTGCCTCTCGGACCTGCGGGACACCCTCATCCTGCCCTGCCGGCACCTCTGCCTCTGCAACTCCTGTGCAGACACCCTGCGCTACCAGGCAAACAACTGCCCCATCTGCCGCTTGCGTGAGTCGCTGCCGCCGCCGCCGCCTGCCTTCAAGGCAGTTCTCTTGGGGCGAACGAAGGGGCACCCATTCGCTCCAGCGGGTGCAGGATGAGGCCGCCCTTGAGGCCATTGCGGATGGCAAGGAGGGACACGGCTTGTCCTCAGGCTGTTTCTCTGGCTGTGCAAAGGGTCTGCGTTGTGCCTGAGGCGTTCCACCCGTGGCGTGGGGCAGCTTTCCAGAGCTTGTAGCCCCTGTGGGTGGGGGCCTGTGAAGGTGATGATGACTGATCTATATATGTCTTTCTGGGAGGCTGCAGGATGGGGGTGGGGGGAGTCCCCCAGCCCCTTGCATCCTGAGTGGACTTGGCCAGCAGGTGGGCTTAGGAACGGAGCTCCACAGAGGGGGGACCCTCGCCCAGTTCGTCTCTCCCTGAAAGATCCGGAGGCAGAAGGGCTGAAATCAGCTTTTCTCTTCTCTTCCACGGCAGCCTTCCGTGCCCTGCTGCAGATCCGAGCCGTGAGGAAGAAGCCAGGGGCGCTCTCACCTCTCTCTTTCAGCCCCGTCCTGGCACAAACCCTGGACCACGATGAGCATTCGGTAAGGGGAGGGGGCCTTGTCATGCAGGAGGGAGAGAGAGATGGAGCCTGGCTTCCAGGCCAGGATTCTGGGTGGGTGGCCGTCCCTTAACGTGGTGACTTGCTCCTTCCGCAGTGCTCGGACAACCTCCCTCCGGGCTACGAGCCCATCTCCCTGCTGGAAGCGCTGAACGGCCTGCGCTCAGTCTCGCCCTCCCTCCCCTCGGCTCCCCTCTACGATGAGATCAGCTACACGGGGGTGCTGGACGGGCTTCCCCTCTCAGGCAGGCCCCTCGGGCTGGACCGCACGGTGGAGAGCAGCCACCAGAGCAGCAAGCACAGCAAGTCTCCAGACAGGTCAGTGGGGGGGGGGCCTGCAGGAACCCCCAGGGTGGGTGGCCTTGGATCCCTCCTCCTTCCCTCTGTGTGGGGAGGGTACACCATCCCTACTCCTGGCGCCCTGGTCCCATGGCAGGACCTCCTCCTGCTTTCCCCTTTTCCTTGCCCCTCTCTCACTAGGGCTGTCTCTCTGAAGCGGGGCTCTCTGCAGGACCCTTTAATCACTCCCCGTCTGCTGGGAGTGGTGCAGGTGGGGTCGGGGCTGGAGGTGCAGGGCTTTGTGGAAGGCCTGGACGGCGATGGGAGTGTGCGCAGGGGGAGGGGGCAGAGATGTCCTGCTACTTGGGTAGAATCGGCAGACGGCCTTCACAAACGACCACCCCACCCCCCTCCACACACACACACACACACACACACATCAAGACTAGAAGAGCAGGTCTTCTGGGAATCGTGAGCCCAGGGCATGCTCTTGAGGAGCCCCTTTCAGAACCCCAGCTTCACTACCCTGCGTTCTCCCTGTGCTTGCACAGCACCTTGCGTTCCCCCTCCTCGCCGATCCACGAGGAAGACGAGGAGAAGCTCTCGGAAGACTCCGACTTGCCGCCTCCGCTCGTCGGGACAGAGCTGGTTCTGCGGGAGGGCAGCTCNCAGGTTGGCAAACCCTGTGCTTTGTGGTGCTGTGTGGGCCAAGCTGAGGCCTGTCCTTCCCCCCTTTTCAGAGCCTGGCCACCGAGGACTCGGAGGAAGGTCACCCCCTGCAGCAAGGTTAGCCTTTGGTGGTGGTGGTGGTGGGGGTTACGTTTCCTGTGCTTTGGCTGATATGGAAACCAATATGGCTAGCTGGGAGAATGATCTGTCTCACTTCTCCCGGCCCAGCCTCTCACTTGCATGATGTCAGAGCTTACCTGCAACTAGTGTAAGCATGGTAGAAGGTTGAGCCAATGGAATGGATGGAAAGAAAGGACTGCTGTTCCCCAGGCAGCCAGCCCCCATTGGTGGAGGACATTGTCCAGGAGAGCAGCAGCGCCAGCGAACCAAGGAGCCTCCTCAGGCGGGAGAACGGGCTGCCAGCTGACATCTACCTGCCAGGCAACCCCTCGGAGGAGGAGGCTGCTGGGGCGGGGCGGGGGGGGGCTGCCTGTGGAGTCTGGGGTGCTGAGGGAGGCTGGGCTGAGGAGGACTCCTGTCGCCCCACCCCTTGCTGACTCCCCACTGCCGTCTCTCCCCGTCCCACCCCTGGCTTCCTGTGTCTTCTTACTTTTCCTGTTCTTCTGGCTTCTGAAAGTCCCCCTGTCCCCACCTAGAGTAGGTGGCTTCTGACCCTTCCTGCCCTGGAGATTAGCCAGCCCCCCCCCCTGCAGGAGTGGCCCAGCGTGCATGTGTGTGCTTGCTTCTCAGGGGGCACACCTGAAGGTGTGCATGCAGGGAGGTGGTTCCCTGGGAGGAGGAGGACCAGGAAGTTGCCCTGAGCAGACACAAAAGAAGGGGGTACAGCCTGGAGGGAAGGAGGGAAGGGAGGGAGGGAGAAGCCCCTGGGGGGGGAGCACAGGCAGAGCGTCTCCCCCCAGATTGCCCGGGGGACAGCCGAACCCTTGGTTTAGGGCAGGTCCCGTCCCTGACCACAGCCGCTGCCCCCCCCCAGGCCCATGTGTGGAATCCATGCTGTTGGGACACTTGGCCCCTCTAACGTCTCCCTCCTTTCTGTCTGCCTCGCCCCTCCCGCCCCCTCCTTGGGCAGCCCTCGGCCCCCTGGACGCCTGCTCTGTTGGGAGAGAGGAGTGAGCGGGTATGTCTTCTCTTTCCTTCCGGGACCTGGCCGGCGCCTTCCTCGGCCCTGGAGGCGGCAGGAGAGGGGAGGGTCCTGGCAACTAGGAGTGGAGGGTTTGGGGAGCAGAGGTGGCGACCCGGTGGCAGGTGTGGGGAGGGGGGGTCTGTCTGCTTTCCCAGCTGCTGTAGAAAAACCTGGGCTTGGGGCTCTGCATGCTCCCACCCCCACCCCCACGACGGGCAAGGTGGTGGTGTGTTGGGGGCTTGGTCGCTGCTTCCGGCTGGAGCCTCCCCGGAAGGCCCCGACCCTCTTGGGAGCCAGGCGGGACAAGGGGTTGGGCGGCTACAGACACACACACCCCTGAGCCGGCCTCTCTCTCCCCGCACTGCAGGCTCGTCCGACTTCACGGGCACCCTCCCGAGCCGTGGGACCGGCCACCTTGGGCAGCCTTTCCTCTTCAGCCAGCCACACCTTGGCGTGGAAAGCGGGCAGAGCCCCTCCTGAGTGCCCGGCTTGGGGGCCAGAGCCACCCCCCAGGGGCCCCAGTGCCAAACTCTGGGGATCCAGTCTGCTCTCCAGGGTGGGAGGGGGAGCTGCCTGCAAGATGCGGCCCCTCCCTTTCCACCATGGGACGGGATCTTAAGGGGGACACAAGACGGCTCCATCTCAGTCCGGCTCTTCCTCCTCTTTCTCGTGACGGACCTTCCCTCTTTGTACAGAAGTGCATGCTCCAGACGCACCTCTTCCCTTCCAGCCCCCCTTTTCCCCACCTGTCTCCACACTCTGGAACTGGTGTGAAACTGGCCTGATGGGAGAGCCTCTCTCTCCTGCTTTGCCAAACAGCTGTCGAGGCCTGACACCCACTCACCCACCCTCCCTCGCCCTCCACAAACACTGGCCTGGGCCCAGGCAGGCTGAAGGCTCTCCCTCGTCCCCCAGCGCCCCTTGGCCAGGATGCCAGCCCCCAGCCTGGCAGCTGCCTCTAGAGGTTGGGTTGGACACCCAGGGGTTTTTTTCTCTCTTCTCCTAGTGGGCAGCATCCACAGACACCACCAAGCCCCCCCCCTCCTAATTTCTTGCTCTCTTTTCCAGAGAGGAGGCCTTGCTTTTCAGGGGGCTTCCCAGGCCCCCTCCCTCCCACAGACCCCTCTGCTCTAGAAGGGGCAAAGGCTCCCTCTCCTTTGGGCTTTTTTCTACCCCTGGAACTGCTTTTGCTCTTCAGCTCCCTGATTTGACAGGGTCAGCCTCGGGAGAGGGGGGGTTTGTGTGTTTGTGTGTCTGTGTGTGTAGTGGTGATAGTGTTGTGGGGGAGACTGGAGGAAGAGGCCCAAGGCCCAGCTCCTCTTTCGCTCCCTGCCCTTTGGCTGGAGATTTACCCACCTGGAGGCCCCGTTTCCCACGGGAGCCAGGAGGTTGCTCCCCCCCCCCTTGCCCTCTCATGCTCAGTGACTGCCCTGCCTTGTGCCTTTTTGCTGCTTCTCCCTCATGGCTCCCTCCCCACCCCTGGAAGAGAAACCCCACACACACACACAGACACCCTTTCCTTGGGGCCTTAAGGCTGCCAGAGGTCCTGTGGCGCTGCCAGCTGCTCCCCTCTAGCCCCTGCCGGGGTGCCTGTCACTCTTTTGCTTTCCGTGCCCAGAAGGCAGAGCTGCCCCTTGGCCGTCGGCCTGCTCCTCTTGCTTAGGCGGTCCAAGCCCTGCCCTTCCTCCTCCTCCTCCTCCGGTTCCAGAGTCCATCTCTACCTGTTTGAGCCTCAAGTGAAGGCAACGGGAAAGGGCCCAGCTCTCTCTTGGCCCAGCCTGTGTTCTGGTCCCCTAAAAAGCAGCCGGGCGGCCTTCCCTACCCTGGGGCCTTGCACCAGCCTTGGACTACAGTGCCCATCATGCCTGTGCCAGGCATGAACCCAAGCGGGCTCATTCCGGTAGTAGAGCCAAGGGGAGGCACCAGGGCTGGGGAAGGCTCGGGCCCGTTTGCGGGGGGTGGGGGTGGGTGGATCAGCAACCTTTCCTTCCTCCTGTCCCGTGGAGTGGCCAGGCTCCAACCGGCACCCCGGCCTCTGGGCCGCTCAGCGTGGGGTTTGGAAGTCCCACGTTCTAGGGGTGCCTTGGGGGGCACAGACGGAAGAAGGCGAGAGGGCCGCCGTTCTCCCGAGCTCCTGCCTTCCACAGTGGGGACCGTCCTGACCTGCTTTATAAAAAAGGTTGCGGGACGGATGGTTTGGGCAATGTATGTAGAGTGCCCGGAACATAAAACTCAAACTCTTATTATAGGTGGCCTCCTGTCTTCTTTGCTCTGTGGTGGAGGGTGGGCTGGGTGAGTGAGGGGTGCAGAGTCTGGGCCGCCATTCCCTCGGGGAAGCACCGACGGCCCAGCTGTGGCAGACGCTTGTTGCGGAGGAGCAGCATCTGGAGGGCACCCACCTGCTGCCCACCTCTCTGACCAGGCCGCTGTTTGGGGTGGGGGGTTGTTTCCCACAGCCTCTGGAAAGAGGGATGGAGCGGTGGCCCCTCCAAGCGAGTGCAAGGGCATCCTGGCTTCCTCCTCAGCGCTTTGGGGCCCTGGTGGATTTGCTGCGGCTGCTGGGAGGCCCCATCCTCCTGCTGCCGTGTCTGGCCTCCTCTTGAGAGGCAAATAAAACCACACCCCACACACCCCTCTTTAAGGAACAGCCACGGAGTCTGGCTCACGGGCAGCCCTGTCCGTCCCTTCCTTCCTCTCCCCACCTCCCGCCCTGGCACAGAAGCCACGACAGGGGGGGTCTCTAGTCAAAGACTGGGAGTCGCAGGAGCCCAGAGCCCCAGCAGCTGGACCGGCCCTGGGCCACGCCACGCCTGGTAGATGTTGCCCATGCCAAGTGGGCAGGCCTGGGCTTGCCTCCTGCCTGGCCTCCATGGCACGGTGGCTCCTTGCCAGCGCCGAAGGGAGGCCTGCAGCTGGCCGATGAAGAGGCGGTCAACAGAGTCATGCCAAGCAACATCTTGCAGGGTGGACGGGCTGCTTTCTTAGGTGCAGCCATGACAGCGGGCAGGAGCTGCCTCGATGCTGCTTCTTGAATGAAAAGAAACTGAGGCTCAAGAAACATTGGCATGTATTTAAGAAATGGTGCCAAAATCCAGATCTGTGAGGAACTTGGGGGGAATTTTATGGCTTCTGCCCCGACTGACTGATTCGGCAGTCTTACACCTTTGACGCCCTGGCACAGAAGCCACGACAGGGGGGGTCTCTAGTCAAAGACTGGGAGTCGCAGGAGCCCAGAGCCCCAGCAGCTGGACCGGCCCTGGGCCACGCCACGCCTGGTAGATGTTGCCCATGCCAAGTGGGCAGGCCTGGGCTTGCCTCCTGCCTGGCCTCCATGGCACGGTGGCTCCTTGCCAGCGCCGAAGGGAGGCCTGCAGCTGGCCGATGAAGAGGCGGTCAACAGAGTCATGCCAAGCAACATCTTGCAGGGTGGACGGGCTGCTTTCTTAGGTGCAGCCATGACAGCGGGCAGGAGCTGCCTCGATGCTGCTTCTTGAATGAAAAGAAACTGAGGCTCAAGAAACATTGGCATGTATTTAAGAAATGGTGCCAAAATCCAGATCTGTGAGGAACTTGGGGGGAATTTTATGGCTTCTGCCCCGACTGACTGATTCGGCAGTCTTACCCCTTTGAAGGCTGGAAAGCTTGCAGGTCTCCCCCCCTCCCCTGCCCCCCCCCCCAGATAAGCGGCCAGCTGCAGGCTATGGAAAATCTGTTGCACCCACTCTTTGGGGGTCTAGGCCTTTTGCTAAACACCCCTGCACCCCAATGTCCCCTTAGCAGGAAGAGCTGTGTGGGCCAGGAAAGGGGGGGTGCTGCGGGCTTCCCCCCTTGGCCACTCACACCCCCCAGTGCTGGATCTCTGCCAGGAAGCTCTCCGCGAAGCAGGCCCCCTCCTCCAAGGCCCACGGAGGGGCCAGCGGCCCTTCCCCCCAAGGCCCCCCAGCGGCGCCCAGAGTCAGCTCCTCCGCGTGGGCCAGGGTGGTGCCCGGAGAGGAGGGGGAACCCTCTGGGCTCAGCCGGCCGGCCTCCTCTTCCCCCCGGGCAAGGGAGCCCAGGGCAGCGGTCAGCTCCAGGTCCTCCTCCAAGTCGCTCTGGGCTGGGCTGCTGAAGGGGTCGCCGTTGTCCAGCGCCGAGGTCCAGCCAAGATCCCCGGCCAGAGATGGGCCCAGGGCTGGCGAAGAGGGTGGGGAGCTCCCGGCGCCTCGGCCCCCTGGCGGCTGCTTGCGTTTGCCCAGCTGGCGCCTCCCTCCGGGCGGCGGGTCCTGTTGTGGAGGGGTCTGCGCAGGAGAGGGCGCACCTGGCTGGGCACCAGCGGAGGACAGGACTGGCACTCCCCGCCGCCGCCGGAAGACCCCCTCGGCGAGCAGGGCTGCGTACTCGGGGTTGACTTGCCAGAAACCCCCCTTGCCAGGCTCATCCTTCTGGCGCAGAACCTTCTGGAAGCACTTGCTCAAGGAGAGGTTGTGGCGGATGGAGTTCTGTCGGGAAGGCAAAGGGTGTGCGGGGAGGAGGGGGTTAAAATTAGGGCACACCAAGTCAGGTGGGGGGGACCCCCACCCCTCTGAGCCAGCCAAGGGAGTCACTATTCGCTTGCAGTGCGGCAAGCTGAGCCCCCCACCCTGCCACCCACCTTTGGCCTTGGCCAGGAGGGGGGGGGTCGGGTCAGAATCTTTGTGGGCTCTCTGTTCCTGAACCCCCAAAGTGGCCCCTGCAGTTTGGAAATGGGGAGGGGGAATGAGAATTGTTGGGCTTCAGCAACTGCCCCTCGTGGATGCCCTCTTGTTCCTCTGTCGGGGGGTGGGCATGTCTTGTCCCCAGGGACCAGTTGCAGGGGTCCCTGACGCTTTGACTTTTCCCACCCACCATTACAGAACTCCTCTTTCTTGGGGGGGGGATCCCCCAACTCGCTATGTTTCAGAGGAGAATTACTGCTTTGCTGGGGGGGCGTTTGGGCTTCCAGGAACAATTTTCATTCCCCCCTCCCGATTTCCAAACTTCGGGGGCCGCTTTGGGGGTTCAGGAACAGAGGGCCCACAAAGATCCTGACCTGACCCCACACACACACACTTCCAGGTGCGAGCAGGAGCCTTCTACCCAGCTCTGGGGTGGGTCAGTGGGGGTACGTACGTGGGGTGGGTGGGGGGTTCCCAGGCCCACTCCTCACCTGCCAGCTGGGGTCTGCATAGCGATAGTAGCAGAAGTTCTCCCGGATCCAGGCGTAGATGGCGGCCAGGGTGAGCCGGGCTTCTTGGCTGGCCCGCAGGGCCATGTAGATGAGGGTGGCGTAGGAATAGGGGGGCTTCACCTGCCGGTTCGTCCGGTAGTCGACGGGGGCCAGGGGAAGGAGCCGCAGGCAGGGGGTGCCCGAGGAGATGGGCTTCCCTGCGGCGGGGGACACGTCCCCTTGGGGGGCGCTGGCAGGGGTGGACGAGCCTGGCAGGAGCCTCTGGTGGCCGGAGATGGAGGGTTTCTCGGGATCAGCTGTCAGGATGGAGAACTCCTGAAGCCAGTGCAGGCTGGTGAGGCTGTCGTCCACCGTCCCAGCCCCGCAGCCTTTCCCCCAAGGCTCTGCCGGCCAGACTGGGGGCGACTTCCGAGTAGACATCTCGGAGGTCTTCCACCTCTCCTGCTGGAAGGACGGTCCTCTGGTAGAAGAGACCGAGTGAACTGAGCGGGGTCCAGCCCCAGAGGAAGTTCTCCTCTGGGGCCAAGACAAAGAACAAGGTGTTGCCTTCTCCTCCGGCCTCCCACGGCTGGATTGGGTTACGCGGGGGCCGCCAGCCAGGCCCCGCTGCAGCCCGTCTGGAAGTTTAGGAGGCTGCTCCCTGGGGGCCACCGATCCGGTTTCCGAGGGTGTCCAGGTGGCAGCAAGCGAGGGTTCACGTTTACATTCATTAGGTTAGTGTGAGACGAGGCTGCAAGCAGAGACCGCCTGGGGGGACCCACAGCCTCCCTCCGCAGAAAAGCCAGCATCAGCCAGAGCCTGTGGCGCAACTTCAGTGCCCGCAAAGAGGTGGCAAAGCCCCTTCATGCGGGTCGTAGCCTGCGAGCAGCGGCTCCTCGGCTGTGGGCACACGGGGAGTCCATTCCCTTCCTTCGTTAGCTTTTGGGGCTGCCTGCGGGGAGGGGGACCCCAGAACGGAAGCCGGCCCTGGAGCCCTGCCTGCCCCCCCCCGCCCCAGCAAGGGCTAGTTACTCAGGGACTGATAAAGTGGAAGAGCTTCTCCCACCCTCTTGGAGAGGAGAGCTCGCCCGCCCTGAGCTGTGCGAGGAGACTGGCCAGGAAAGGGAGGAGGAGGAGGAGGGTGCCGAAGATCCTCCTTCAGAGCACAAGGGCCCTCCACCAAAGGAAAGTCCGCTTCGGAGACAGCGGGTCTCACGTGGGCTTCTCGACACATTCACGGGACTCTGTCCCACTTCTCGCCGGCCACCAGTGACACCTCTGAGTGAGGACAAGAAAACCGCAAAAGAGACCAGCTGGGAAAAGGGGAAACCCAGCTTGGAAACAACCTCTCACGTCTCACAGGAGGAGAGTGGACCGTGGGGTCCCCAGGTGGGCGGCCACAGCCACCTATTGGACTGGTGCTTCGCAGGCCAGCCGAGACAGGGCTGAGCCCAGCAAGGCTGTCCTCAGCCCCTGCGCCTCCTCCCAGCCTCTCAATGGCTCCCCGGGGCCACTTTTCCTCCTGACTGCCGGCGGATCTCTTCCCAGCCACGCTGCTGCCACGTCCATATCCATATTCAGGGAGGTTCGTGTCAGGGAGGAGGAGGAGCGGATGGGTGGGGTGAAGAACAAGCCAAGAGAGAGTCGCAAAGAAAGCAAATGCTTTTAATCCAAGACATGGAAAGTGAGGGTGGCTCACTTTTGGCTCTTCAATAAATAAGGGGTCGAACAGGCGTGGATGCGGTCACCACCGAAGCTTTTGGAGGGAGGCAGCCTCGTCACAGAGGCCTGTGTTCCCCCTTCCTCCCCGCGCTCACAGAGGAGTGTGTGGACAAACCCACAGGGGGCAGGCAGACGAGAGCGGCCAACAGCAGACCAAGGAGCGGACGAAGACATAAAACCAAAACCGTAACACAGATGGGGAACCAGATTGACTCGGGACGCTCTCAAGCAGCCACAGGAAAGATTTAAAACACACAAAGAAGGTCGCACGTGATGGCCGTGGTGGGTTTTTCGGGCTCTTTGGCCGTGTTCTGAAGGTTGTTCTTCCTAACGTTTCGCCAGTCTCTGTGGCCATGGGCCTCTTCAGAGGACAGGAGTCAGAACTCTCTCTGTGCTTAAGGTTGCACATGCTTGGCAGTTTGGTGGCCTCTTCCCATTCCAAGCTGAGAGGCCATGGAAGGAAAAAAGTGTGTGGGGGGGGGGCTGACCACATGGCCCTCCTGCCTTGCTCCCAACCAGAAGACAGCCAAAAGTGGGAAGTTCTCTCTCTCTCTCTCTCTCTTTCTCTCTCTTTCTCTCTCACACACACACAATCCAGCAGGCCTCCCTTCGCTGCCATCACCAAAGAGGGAAGGAGCCTCCCAAGACTCAGCCTGCACAGTCCTGCGCTCTGCTGACTGCACAGGGGAAGAGCTCAGAGCCTTTTCCTTTGGTTGCCATGAAGACCGCCTCCCACTGCTCGTGGCACGGCTACGGCACAAGGCAGGCTGGGCAATGTGGACCTGCCCCAGCCAACATAAAGAGCAAGAGAAAAGGAAGCCCCTCCAGCCCCCTTCACCAGGCAGAGGGTCCCCCTGTCTCCTGGAGACTGGTGCCTCTGAGCCAGTGAGGGACACATGGACCACCTGGGAAGATAGGCAGGGGCCACGATGCCCACGAAGTGGCAGGCCAGGCGGGACAGGAGCTCGGCGGGTGTTTTCAGCAAAGAACAAAAGCAAAGGGGAGGCTCTTACTCCGGCTATCTAGTAGACCCCTCTTCCATGCTTCTTCCTCCTCCACCACCCTGGGTGCGAGGAGGAGGAGGGCACCCTCTCTGCAGTTGGCCTTTTGGGACATCAGAACCCTTGACCCTGCCCCCCCCCGGTGAAAGATACTGGTCAGGAGAGCAGGGAGAATCCAAGTGGCCCTTGCCGCCCAGTCCCTGGAGGGGGGGGGGCTTGCCAGATGAGCGCCTCTGCTCAGCTCCTCCTTTCTCTTCAGAGGACCCTTGCCCTGCCATTGTTCTCACTTACACCAGAGGCAGTATGACCGACGCACCTTGTTTACCAAGATGACAGTACATGCGCACACGCACACACATACACACTTCAACACACACCACTATAAAAGAGCCACTTCGTCCCGTGCATCACTTGGATACTTTAAGTGTAAAACCACAAGTGGGCCCTGGGAGCCCTTGTCACGATGGGGAAGTAGAAGAGGAGAGGGCCCGAGGCCCCCCCACCCCAAGGCTTCTCAGCAGCAGCAGCAGCAGCAGGAGAAACACGGGAGTGGCTTACAAAGCAACGGCTCCTGCTTTCTCCACTCGTGGCCTTGGGCCCCGTGGCTCCTTGGCCCAGCCCCAAGGGTGCCCAGGCACAGTCTCTCCCTGTCACCCCACACGCTGCATGGCCCGGGCAGCTGCAGAGAGGCCGGCCTGGGAGCAACGGCCGCTCACCTCTGGCTCAGGGGAACAGTGGGGGTCCAGCTAGGTTTTCCTCCCGACACTTTGGGCCCAGGTGGGACAGCAGGGGGAGCAGGCCAAGAAGAGGAATTCCCGTTCACAGAGAGGCGCGTCTGGGTTCAGAGGGCAGGCATGGGTGGAAAGGGCACGGCCAGCTTCCTTGCCACCGAGCTGGGCCGTGGTAGCAACGCCGAGAAGGACCTGCCTGCAAGACAAGCAGCAGAAAAAGCAGCTGAACCTGCTCCCGGGTGAGGGGGGTCCCTGCCCTCTCCCACACCAAGACCACCGTTTGGGAGGAAGCGGCCAGGCCAGGCCGTGGCGTACCTTGAGAATCACATGGTCCGGCTATATTCAATGCCGCTCTTTGCCGAAATGCCCGACCACGGCAAGAGGCTGCAGAGGAGGCTCTGGGCTTGGCGGTAAATCCGCTGGGGAATCGTACAGGGGCTCAGATTGGCCAAGGTCGAGCCGATGTGCTGGAGATAATCGGTGCAAAGCTGCTAAGGAACGGTGGCTACGAAGAGGGAGAGCCAGGAAGGGGTGGCACAGCCCCAGTTGCTCCCCCAAGGGAAGCACAAAGAGGGAATGGAGGGCCAGCTCCACACCAGAGAGCGCCGAGAACCGAACGAGCAGTGAAACTGACCGCAGGCATGCCATCCATCTACACACACACACCCCCGCTCTATCAGAAGTCTTGTTCGTAGGGCTGGTGGCCTCAAGATCAGAGGCCAGGGATCTACATCCCAGATCCCAGAGGGGCCTCGGGGAAGGGTGAGGACGGTGTCGTTTGACCTTGCATCTCCAGGCAACCGACAAAGGCCAGCTGTCAGCTGCCACATCCCACTACTCGCTTGGAAAGCCCGCCACAACCGTCCATCGCTAACTGTGGGTCATTTGGGCAGTGAGATGAGAAAGCCAGCACAGACAGACCTTCTTGGCTGTCCTGCAGCTTTGAAAGCTCTTTCCCTTGCGCATGAGCTGAGATCTAAGATCATTCTGAACGGGATCTGGGTGCTGGTGCAGCTGTGAAGCTCTTCCACAGTGCCCTGGGCATGCCCTGGGTACAGTGGGGACCACGCCAGGGGAGCTGATCTGGCAGGGACACCCTTGGGTCGCAACAGCAACCGGACTCTCGCAGCCCTCCCAGACTGGCTCTAAGGCCCCCTGCTCTCCCACAAAAAGCTCAATGCCTGTCCTTGTTCTCTGCTCACACAAATCTGCGTGTGGCTTCTCAAAACCCAGCCCCCCCTGAGCACGACCCCTGCCAACGCCTCCCAGTCTGTTTGTAAAGGATATAAGATTGTCCACGGAGGGTGCCCTCCGTTGAGGTACAGGACGTACGTGAAGCCATCTTTGAGGACCCCTCTTATGGAATAATAATAGGGCAGGTAATGGTGCTGCTTAAAGTCTCTGTTTTCATAGAAATTTATTGCCGTGTTGTTAGTGGTGAGGACGTGCAGGTAGATGGCCTTGCAGTGGTCTTGGGCAGTCGTTGATATGTGATCCTTCAAGCTTTCAAGTAACAGAGATCCTGCCAGATAAAGGAAAGGGTTAAGAACGGCAGGGCAGGGGCCACCCGCCCATCCCTGCCCTCCTCCTCCTCCTCCCCAGCAGCTGCTAGTTGCCCTTTCTTTGCTGGGAGAGGACCTTTGCTTGCCAAGCAGGACCCCAATTCTGAAGCAAAGGCTGCCTCCCCAGCCCTGCTCGGCTAGGAACACAGCCAGCCATCTGCACAAACTATCGAAGGATGTGGCAGCAGAAGCTCCAGAGCAGGAGAGGTTGCCAAGAGCAGCCAGTGGCCAAAAAAAGGCAGCTCGAGGAGGAGGAGGAGGAGGAGGGGAGGCATGGTGGGGCCAGTGCTTCTGGCAAGAGGCGGCATCTTCCCACTCTCCCTCCTGGTTTTTTTTTGGGGGGGGGGGACCTCACAAGCCTACGTTCTAAAGCCAGCCATAGTAATACGCAGCAGCCCGGCCGAGGCCTCCCACCGCTCCCCTGCCAAGGCCCCTGAGGCACCCCTCTTCCCTGCGGCCTGCCCTGAGTGAGCCCCATGGGCACCTCTGTTTTTATTTCAGAAAAGAGCTCCATAACCGTTCACACAGCGGTATGGCTTGAAAACATGAGAGCTGACCCTGGCAAGGTGGAAGACGACAGGAAAGGAAAGAAGCAGTCCAGAAAAGAAGCTCTTCCCCCACTCGCAGGGAATCACACAGTCAGCGATTTACCCTACCTGACTGGCGGAAAGCAATGAACAAAACATAATTAAGATACTCTTACCGATGCCATGCTTTCGAAATTCCTTAACCACTCCGAGGCTTAAGATATAAGCAACCTGAGTGTCAACTGGAAACCCAGAAGCTAAAATGTCACCATCCTAAAAAGACACCCAGCAGAAAGACAAGGAGTCAATGGGCGAAGCTGCAGGGCTCAGCCCTCCCTCCCTC